CTCTTGTTCAGGATGGCTTTTTTTTTAAAAAAAAGCAATCCAATCGCACTCAATCGGCACAATAGAAAATTACGATCCTCCTCCTCCTCCTCCTGATGATGAAGTCAGATCACAGAGAATTCTATAGGGCTACAACCCCAAGGGTCCCGGTCCTTCTAATCAATCTCACCCTTTGATTGGAAGGAATTTTATGCTAGAGACAGCAAGAACATTTCTTCTTGGTTAATAACTTCTAGGGAGAGGCCGGCTGAGGATAGAAGGCAACATGGTGTAGCCCAATCTTGTTGGATCTTGGAAGGGCCATTACTTGGATGGGAGACCACGGAGGGAGTCTGTGCAGAGGAAGGCAATGGGAAACCACCCCTGCTTCTCACTTTGCCTTGAAAGCTCATTGTTGGGGACACTGTGAATTGGACGCGATGAGGGCACTTGCCAATGGAACGGGGTGGGAACAGACTGAGAAAAATATTCACAGCTACTTGCAGAGATAGAAGAAGACCAGTACCAGCCACTGACTATTAAGAGGCAGTGTTGTGTGTAGTGGTTAGTGTATTGGACTCAGACGGAGGAGACAAAATCCATATTTAGCTGTAAAGCTAGGTGATCTTGGGACAGCTAGTCTGTCAGCCTACCTTACCTCACAGGGTTGTTGTGAGCAATGTTCCCTCTAAGCTGTGGAGTCTTGTGAGCAAAAATTCTACCTTGTGAGCTGTTGGCATTCAAGTTGTGAGCAAGCCACTTGGCTACTGCATACCTTAGTTTGCTCTGGAGCCATCCTTCCTGAGCTAAGACAAAAATGTGTGAGCTGGAGGCTAAAAAACTGTGAGTTAGCTCAGCTTAGAGGGAACACTGGTTGTGAGGATAAAACAGTATTGGGAGAACCATGTTTTGAGCCCTGTGAAGGAAGGATGGGATAAAAATGGGATGGACGGGTAGGATACTATTGGGTATGGGCACAGAGTGGCATATCCCTGCGTTGAAAACCTTTGTACTGGAAAAGAGAGCAAAAATCAATCCAAATTAATTCCAAATATCGATGACCATGGCATTAGGGATCTTCCTCTTTGGTGCAACTCAACCCATGTAAGAATTTATAAGGCCAAGTGTTGCTTCCCAGCAACCAGCAGGCTTTTCCGGCTAATGTTCTGGGGTCATCTGAAAGCTACATGACCATAGGTGGCAGCTGCCCAGTGAGCTCCTCCCCTTCAAAAGAGGAGAAAGCGGACTCCATCCCAGAGGCCCTTTCCGCACTCTCCTTTCAATCCAGGCTCACCGCAGTGTCCTTCAAGCAATTCTGCACTAAAACTGAATTCAACCTTTAAAAAAATCCGTTCCCCTCCCCCCAGTTCTGCACTGAAACCGAATTCAACCTTCTTTTTATTCTGGGTCCTCCCCCACCCCCACCCCCGTTCTGCACTATCTTACCTCCCTTCAGTGGCCGGCCCAGTTCCAGCCTACTGTTGTCCCGGGTTTTTTGGACGCTGTCACGGATGTTTTCCCACAGGGACGGCTCTCCCCGCGCCTGCACCTGTACTCCTCCGCCGCTTCTCCTAGTTTCTGCACATGTTTTTGCAGTCCCAGGAGCAAAAATGCAGTTTTCCCCCTCTTGTGGTGCAGCATGGGAATTCCTGGAAACAGGGAGGTCTGACGCTGTGGAGCAAGAGGGGACAAGCTGCGTGTTCGCTCCTGGGACTGTAAAAACATTTGCAGAAATGAGGGAAAGCGGCGGAGGAACACAGCTGCAGGTGCAGGGAGAGCTGTCCCTGTGAAAAACGTCCCGGACTTAAATTGCCTCGACTTGAGCACTGAGAAAATCCAGAGTGGTAGGAAAATGCAGAAAGGGGGGGGAAATCCCCATCACCATTCCTAGAAAACTGAGGCAGGGGTCATTTCCTGCAGGAGCGCACAGGAGCAGAGCTCCGGCAGTAAAGAGCCCAGGGGGTGGGCACATGCAACAAGCCCCACCCCCTGCTCCCAGCAGCCCTCAGTCAGAGCAAGAAGCAGCCAGGTATGTTGCAGAGCCTGCCCCCCCGGCCCAAAACACTCCAGTGGCACCTTTAAGACCAGGTTTTATTCAGGTACAAGCTCTCCCTCCTCTGCGAGGACAGATCCGCACGTCCCCCCCCCCCAATAGCTAGCAATCTAAAACAGTCCAGTGGAGCCTGAGCAGTGGGTGTTGCCTTCTGACACACTTTCAGAGATGTCAGGGGGTGTGGCATATGCTAATAAGTTATGCTAATGAGTTATGCTAATGAGCTCCTGCACCTCTTTTTCTACGAAATGACCCCTGCTGAGAGGGCTCCATTTTCACACTGGGCAGATGCGTGTGAGGAGAGCTTGTCATCAGTCCTGACACTGGGACTTGTAGGCTGGGAATACCCTCTCAGACTCTCCAGGGGTCCCTGGATCCCAGATAAAAGCACATGTTCTGCATACATGTAATGTATTCAATAAGCTGCCA